TCTTAAATAAATTTATTAAAGTTCAGTTTTTTCGAATAAGAATAAGAATAACTCCACCGTTCTCTTTCTTTTGTCAATTTTCGCTTTTCTTTGACATCCATGTTGTTCCTGAAACGTTAATCACAATATAAAAACAACTCAGGTAGCACCCACACGGCATATTCCAACAAATAGGGTATTCGTATTTGTTGAATGTTGTGCGTGTGCAAAGGCCATCAACAGCTGCTCAAGTAAACCCTCCTATTGTTCTAGCTGGGATTCATTGTTGTTATTGAAAGGCAATCAGCTTAGCGAATGTTCCACAGATTCAAAAAAGAGACTTCCTATGTTCATATATCTTTCGGACAGGAGCGCACGAACCAATCGAGAATTTCAGCAGCTGCCAGCGAGTGAACGGAATATAGAGTAAGAAAAGTACTTCTTGCTTGAATTACTTTTGGATACAATGGGGATGAAGAACGACCACAAGACATTCACGTTTATGAAAAAACTAAAACTTTATTCTGGTTGTTGTTGTTGTTGACAGAATTATCAGGTCTAGATGCAGTTTACTTCTTGGCCTTCTTGGTATCAGCCTTGGCGCCCTCTTCGCTCTCAGCTGCCTCCTTGGCGCGCTTAGCGCGAATGCCAACCAAACGAGCATCAGTACGTGCCTGTAAACAATAACAATGTTGATTAATACATATTTAAGCCACTTTTCATAAACATTAAATCTACCTTGCGCAGAGTAGCGAAGGCCTTGAACTTCTTCTCATCCTTGGTAACTTCACGGAACTCAACAACCGGCTGCTCCTTCTTAAGGGGCATAATGGGTCCCTGGAGCTGTGTGGCCAGCTTGCATTCCTCAACAGTTGATTCGCCCTTGCGGATCTTTTTCTCATTGATGGGGAACAGAATCAGTTTGCTTCTGTACTCCTTCAGGCGCTGAATGTTACGCTGACGAGATTCCAGCGACTTGTTCTTGCGACGACGATCGACAGCAATGCCAATGGTCTTTGCGAAGGCTTGGCTCAGACCAGCACCCTGAGTGTAAACATTTTAAATCAATTTAAATTCACAGTAAGCTTAAAATAATACACGCACCTTCAGTTCCTCAATGGTGAATCCACGACCGGTACGCAATTTTGTGTGGTAGCGGATGGTCGGGCAGCGCACAACTGGACGCAGGGGTCCGCTGGCAGGGCGCGGGAAGACAGCCTTGGCTTTCTTGACGCGGTTCTCGTGTCTGCGGATCTTGCGCGCCGGCTGGTTGAACCAGGTGCGCACATGACGCTGCCACCACTTGTGGTAATGCTGGTTTGGAATCATATTGTTACCCTTACCCATCTTGGCGGTTTAGTTTAGCTGTTACAGAGATCAAGTAAAAACACACAAATTAGTACACATTCACATATAAGGGTTTGTATATATTATAACCAAATTACGGGTGCGCACACCACGTGGCTGGCATATATTTCCATGTTTCAGGCGTTATGGAATCATTTTTCCCACATATTTCATGTTAAGTCACAGCCTATTAGGCGCTGCACCCTTTAGGCTATTAATCGCATTATATTCCGAGTCACCGCTTATCTAAATATATTAAATTCTGTGCATTGTAAAATTCCACACACCTTTTGCTACCCAACAACGAATCAAAAAGAAAATCGCAGCCAACTTCACGTCATGAGCATACAGTAATAAGAAATTCCCTCAAAAAACTTCCCTGGCTGCCGCAAAAATTTCCCCAGCTATCGATTGGTGATGCAATCAGTGTTAACAAAAATTCCATACAGTTTACATTTTTCCGCTGCCCGACGCTAAGCAAATGTCAAACGCGCAGCAATAATTATATGTCTAACAATTAAAAATAAATAACTAACAAGTTCTGCGCATCTATTACATATAATACGCGCATTTGCCTTATCGATTGGCTACTCTGTCGCGTGGCAACTCTAAACTGTACTTTCTGATACAGATAAAAAAAACTATTGACTATTGAACTGACTATCTATAATCGAGAAATTGCGCGCTTATTTTTTTGTGGCATCGGTAATCAGATATCAATAAACAGCCAAGAACTCAAAAATGGACGGAGTGGCCAGTTCGCCAATGGTTGTTGAAGCCAAATACGAGGATGTCTCGCAGCTCAACTTTTCCAAGCTGTACTCGCCCAAAATGAAAAGCGTCTATTGGCGCTACTTTGGCTTTCCATCGAACGATAATGACGAGGTAATTACCAAGCAAAATGTTGTGTGCATCAAATGCCACAAAGTGCTGACCAATCACGGTAATACCACCAATTTGCGTGCACATCTGCAACATCGCCACAAGGACCTTTTCAAGGCCTTGTGCCAGGAAAACGATATACAAGTGCCGCCGCGCAAGACTCCGCGCAATCTAAACCATCCACCATTGTCCAAGCGCAACGTCTCCTCACGCCGCGTCAAGCTTGAGTTCATTAACAATCGCACTCACCACGAGAACGATGAAGACGAGGAAATGGACGAGGCAGCTGTGGCCGCAGCAGCCATGCAGGCCGAAGATGATGCCGCCTCCCAGACAATGCTATACGAAACTATGGTACCGCTAACCTATGACGACGCCGATAACCTGGTCGAAGAGGAGGATCGCTCTATTAGTATTGAGCCGCGCGAGCTGAAGTTTGCGCGTAAACGCAAAAGTACAGCACCGTCTGGAACTATGCACTTTACGCGCGCTAACATTAAGCATGAGGAGGGCACGGGTGGCATGCAGGTGCGCAGCTATATAACCAATTTACCCGAGGCCCTGGCCGACATAGTTGTGCGTGATCTGCGCAACGTGGAGACCCTGTACGATCTGGGCATCAGTGAGTTCATACGTCTGGCCATGGGCAATTTGCCATCGCTGCCCATGCCCCAAAAAATTGATGCGCTGATTACCGAGCAGCATGCATCCAAGTTCTTGGAAATGGGCGATTTCACGCGCGACTTTACCGCCGAGAAGCCCTACTCGCTGGCCTTCGAGCAGTGGATGAATGTGGAGCAGCGTCGCTTCCTCAGCATCTACCATCACTACTTGAGCGATGAGACGCAGTGCGTTCGCAGCGTCATGTATGCCACCATCGAGTATACTGACTACATCTCATTCGACGAGCTGCTCGCCGATTTCTATTTGCCCAATTGCACACTGGCCATCGTCAACTATGACGATGAGGAGGATCTGCTGCAGACCTATTTGAAGGAAAAGAGTGAGTACAACATAATCTTGCCGCAGCTCACAGACCTAGGTGTGCTGAGCTATGTACCTAAACAATTTGCTATACCCAATAAGCTAACTAATAAGAACTGCTGCCAGATCGGATCAGGTGTTATTACCGATCCAAAAATACTTGACCTCTACGTAAGGGAAAAGGGGATTAATCTGTACTTATTTGCACATTATACTATTGGGTGTAAGTCATAAGGAATCGCCTATCAAACAGTCTACGTAGCCGCTTATTTGTTGTAAATGCCCATTCTTCAGACTATAAATATGTTTTGTTTAAATATATCAAACAGATATACCCGTTGTGCTCTGCTATGTGTCGGTAATTGACAAGTGCCTGCGGCATGTCTTTGAACTGGAGGAGGTTGCCACGTCCTTGGAGCAGGTGAAGGACATTATACAGCGTCACTCGGCAGAAATTAGTTCCAAGGTGTCGGAGCTGCCGGCATATAATGAACATTTCCCTTGGACTCTGTACGAGCTGCTCAAGTTCTTTGCCGAATCTATATCTTGGTCGGAGGACATGGATCAACTTGTCATCACGGCCAAAACCGTGACCGAAGCATTAAGCGCTCTAGTGGTAAGTCGTAGACTCATTGGCTAATCGGGCGAAAAAATATCAAATCCTCTTTTTTAAATCAGATTGCACTGGATACTTTGCGTGGCGAGGACATGCCTCTGTGCAGCATGCTGTCTCCCATAACATCAAAGATTTTAATCAAGAAACTGGGCATTGCGGAGCAGGACGAGCCATTAATGATGAATATCAAGCGCACCATTGCGAGTGTGCTGCAATCACAGATTATTGCCAATGATACGCTGACCAGCGCTGCGCTGCTTGATCCGCGATTCCATCGTTTAACCACAATTGAAAACCTTGACAGCTGTGTGCGTATGCTAACACAGAAATATAACAAGACGTTCGGCGGCTCGGTTGGCACAGACAGTCAGAGCGGGGATTCGGCTGAGGTGGCACCCACTGCACCCGTCAACGCTCCCACAGTAACCATTAAAACGGAGCCAAATGTCAAGTCTGGTGGCAGCAGCTCGTCTGCTGCAGCTGCCACATCGCACAGTGCGAAGAAATCTAGTAAGTCGAATTTGCTAAATATTACAGCAATAGTTAGATTAATTTAAAACGAGTTTTCTCTAGAACTGGAACTGCTGTTTGACGTTGCAGAGATACCTAATCCGCCAAAGCGAGACGCCGACAGCACTGTGGAAACTGACCTCAAGCGTTATCGTAATGAGGTGATTGTCCAGCTGGACGAGTCGCCCATTGAGTGGTGGAACAAAATGGGTCATATCTATGGAACGCTGCGCGACTTGGCAACACTATATCAGGGAGTACCTGGTGTGGTAAATCTGAATTTCAAGAAGGTCTTGCGTGAACAGATTTATGATTACAATAAGCGATTTATGCTAACTGGTAGCCAGAATCAGATCGATGCGATATTGTTTTTGAACCGTAGCAGCAGCTTAAAGGACACTATATATGTTTAATAGCTTTTAATATTTTTATCTGCATGGGATATGCATATTTGTAATTCTATAATTCTTTAATCTGTAATTAAAATACATATATAATATCAAGAGGAAATTAAATTTTGAGCAGGGGGAAGTTGGTGTAAAATGTTAAAATTTGGGGAAATTATTACAGAAATGTTAATACAACAAATAAGAAAAAGTATAAAGTACCAATAGCAACTCTGTCTGCGTCAGTGTTGAAAAATTATGCAAATGACTTGACATTTTGCAGCACTTGAAGGTTTTCGATACTGCCAGACAGTTAAAAGTTTCCCCTTATCAAGCGATTGTCACTACACAGAAAACGCAAAAGTTTCTTAATAGTTAAAATTTGCATACTACAGCTTAGCTTATATTGTATTGTGTATGTGTGTGTGTTGTAAAACAAGCGATAGCAACGATGTGCGCTGGGCGCTTGCAAACAGTGCGCGGGTGTAAGAGACGTGCCATGTAAAAGCCTGAGGTGGACACAAACGTATCAAACAAAACCGACAACCAACAATAACGGGGCGGCGGCAACAATAACAACAACAACGACGTCGTTTCCGCTACTGCTGCTGCTCTGGGGCTTTGTCTTGTGACGAAAGCAAAACTCGAAACATTTCTTCAAACACACACACACACACGCACGCACAGCCAACACAAAATTGATGTGCAGGATGTGCCGCCTCGACATACGCCGCTTCTGCGAAGAATGGCGCATCTGGATACGGCCGCTGTTGATTGTGACCTATGCGATATTTGCGATCATTGTGGTACCCCTGCTGATTGTGAACTCGGTGAAGGATGGCTTCCAACAAAATGACCAGCTTATTCTCATCGGCGGTCTGTTCGTTCTATCCGCGGTGCCCATTTCCATTTGGCACATCATACAACACGTCATACATTTCACAAAGCCCATTCTACAAAAGCACATAATACGCATACTGTGGATGGTGCCCATCTACGCGTTGAATGCGGTAAGTGGGCCAATGGAAGCGGTTGAAATCGAGACACGTAATCGAATCTTGTCCAATTATTGTTCCACATTGCTCGCATTGAAGTCATTGAAATTCGAATTTGAATTTGTTTACAGTGGCTCGGCCTGCTCTTTCCCAAGCATTCCATCTACGTTGACTCGCTGCGAGAGTGCTATGAGGCATACGTAATCTACAATTTCATGGTTTATTTGTTGAACTACTTGAATCTCGGCATGGACCTGGAGGCGACAATGGAGTACAAGCCGCAAGTGCATCACTTCTTTCCGCTCTGCTGCATGCGACCCTGGGTCATGGGTCGCGAGTTCATCCACAATTGCAAGCACGGCATATTGCAGTATACAGTGGTGCGGCCCATCACGACATTCATCTCGGTGTGAGTATGATAATGTATAAAATGCCACGTATACAATAAAGAGCTCTCTTCCTAATGTAGTCTGTTGAATTCACAGCGCATTAAAATGACATGAGCCACAAGTTACACAAGTTAGAATACAAAAAACTAAACTCTTTGTTTAACAACTTTATGATTTAGCATAGAATAGTTGTATATGTTCCAAGGTTAAGCTGCGGCATTTTAGGGCGAACAATATTTTGTTATCTGTAGATGTTAATCAAATTAAAATAATGGCTTACCTATTAATCGGCACAGGATTTGCGAACTGTGCGGCGTTTATGGCGAGGGCGAGTTTGCCGGAAATGTTGCCTTCCCCTATATTGTGGTCATTAACAATATCTCACAGTTTGTGGCCATGTACTGCCTGGTGCTTTTCTATCGGGCGAACAAAGAGGACTTGAAGCCCATGAAGCCGATACCAAAATTTTTGTGCATCAAGGCAGTTGTGTTCTTTTCGTTTTTGTAAGTACTTAAACAATACTTAATTATAGTAAGACAGTAATCTCTTATTTATTCCCCATTTTTAGCCAAGGAGTGCTGCTCAATGCGCTGGTGTACTATGGGATTATTAAGGGCATCTTTGGCGATGTCGGTGATGCAAATCTAGCGTCCATGCTGCAAGTAAGTCTTTGATTGCATATCTGATCGGGTTTCTATGAAGTTATTTCTATTGTTGTTTGTTTTTAGAACTTTCTTATATGCATAGAGATGTTTATTGCTGCCGTGGCTCACATTTACAGCTTTCCCCACCATCCATTCCACATTAATTCACCACAGTATTGGAACAATCCAAATCATAGCTGGTGTCGAGCCTTCCTCTCTATGATGGACATCTCGGACATGCAGGAGGACGTTACGGAGCACTTGGGCGTGGTCAGCAGCTCAATTAGTCGCCGTTTTCAGGGTCGCAGTACATACCAGCCGTTGGCGCGGGGTCCACGCCGTTCTAGCAGCGAGTCCGAGTACTTAATTGGCAAGCGGCAGGAACAGCCGATGTCGGGGGGTAACGTCGCACAAGCAGGTAACAGCAATGCCACATATGGCGCCACAACGAGTCGGTTAATTGTGCCCGTTAATGTTGGGCTACTGGGTCCACTAACTGAACACCAAACTCATTCCCCATCTCGATTTCCCATAGCAGGCACCGATGTGGCTGATGATAATAGCAATAGCAACAATTACCAACAACAACAACTGCATTTGCCGGGCTCCAATCTGAAACTGTCGGCGCGCCAACGCGATACGAACCAGCATCTGCGCGAACGGGATCAGCAGCATTTTCTCGGTGGCGTTGGGCCGCCACAAGCCGGTGGCAGCAGTTTCCTGCAGGCGCGTACTGCTGCTTCCGCGGCAGCCCCGATACCCGAGTCCAACGATGATTATGCGCTGCTGCTGGGCGCGGGCAGATGACAACGCTATCAGCATCAGCACATCGATGTGCTCGAAGATGGTGACGATGTAGAAATTAGTCAAAATTTGAATGCCTCATCGCTGAGTGCATCGCTGTCCGTTTCATTTGGCATGTCAAGTAGCTTAAAATTCAGCGCCACGTGCAGCAACCAAACTGCATCCGAGTGGTCCAACTCAACGGGCGGGGACGATGACAACGATGACGACGATGACGATGACGACGATGAAGACGAAGACGATGAGGATGACGCTGATGATGATATAGAGAATGGAGAGAATGTTGAACAGATGCCGATTGTGGTTGTTGCATCGACGACGCGTCGTCGACGAGACAGAGAGTACATCACCTAGACCCATTTTTAAATTGCAGTAGCGATATTTATTCTGTTTATATACTTATCAGTTAATTTGATTACTCACTCAATTATTATTTGGTCAATCGATTGGCAAACATAAATTCCTTTGTAATTAAGCTTAATACTCACATATATTTTTCTCTTCTGGCAACCCAATCAAATTGGGAAATTCTAAATTGCGTGGCCTTAGTTTTGAATGCGAAAGCAACAACTGATTTTATAAAAAAGCTGCATATATAATCGGTTTAGAGATTCATTCAATTCCAACGAATCTTCATAAAACATATGTAAATCTATATGCAAAGGGAAGCGATAGTTTTTCTTAAACATATATATATATATTTATAGATTAGGCTCGAACGTTTTATACATTAAACTTCAAAATCATAGGCAATTATAAATTCTACGAAAATTATACACTTATACAAATGCAGATAGTTAGACACGACGCTATGGTGACTGTCGGTAGTTTGTACTTTTATTAGGCTAGTAATACCCTGTACCCTCGTATTTGTGCTCGTATGTTGCTTAGTAGATAAATTGATACATACCCTTAAAGCAAAAGATTGTGAATGGAGTGACTGCCGGTCAGAAAAGGGCGTAACTTATATTGAAAACATATATTGTATATTAACTTATGTAATTCTCAATAATATAATTATGCAAATTCTTAAATGATGTATTTTTTTCGGTTTTTATCATTTCAAACAGTTTTTATTATTTAAAAACATTTTTGTTTTATATTGATCCATTCGGTTATTTTCTATATAATTTGTTTTCTTTTTTTTCAACTTGCAGTAGGAAAATGTGTGTTTTTTTATTTTATTTTTGTTTTATTCATATTTCTCTTGAACCATTATACATTATTAATTTATACTTTTACTTCAAGATACCAGAAAGAGATTTGTTATGTTATATTTATACATTTGCCATTTTAATTTATAGCTTTTATAGAAATTTTTTGAATTGCCAAAATACCAAAACATTCCACCAAGAATGTTTTTATTTATACTAAGCATTTACATTTCCGTTGAATTTTCTTCAAGATGCATAGCATCAAGGAGTTGTCTATGTGACTCTTAAACATGACAATATAATAGAGCTGTACCGTTGCTGTCCTTTGAAATAGTACGACATTTAAATATAATTTAGGAATTATTGTGTTACGATTGAAATAATTAAGACTGGGATTCTTTTTGGATATATTCAATGGGTCAATTGTCTGAATTTGAGACTGGAATATCTAACCCAAAAAATTATTGTCCATCATTTTTGCATTTGATTGTTAAAACTTTACTTCTTGCCATATACATAATGATATCATTTTAAAGCAGCCCAGCAAATAATGGCTTTTTTTTTATCAAACTCATGCTCAAGCAGATAAAATCATGAATCATTGTAAACGCAGTGGCATGCATGAGTGTGGAAAATTATCAACTCTTGAAGTGCTTGGCTGATAAGCACCATACATTTAATTGAACGGTTCCACCAAATCAGCGCCCGGTCATAAAAAGATTTAAAGCCTTTTTTGCAACATTTGATTATGTTTATTATTTAAAAAATTTTTTGTCTTTTCATAATACTTGCATTCTAAGATTAGAACAAATAGAAAAAGAAGAAATAGAAAGAAAAACTAAATTACCTGACATTTAAAAATTGACAAAAACAAGCGGACGAAGAGAAAAAAATGAAAGAAAATACAGAACTGGTGACAAGGACGACGCTTTTAACTACAAGCAAAAGCCTAATCGAATAGTATAATTAAAATGGCATTACGACACATAACGTTAAAATATATATCAAATCGATTTCAATTTGCCGTTGAACATAGGAAAACATGAAACAAAATTCGTTAATCAAACAACATAAAAATCAAAAAACAATTTCAGTCCAGGGTAGCAAACTCTTGTCGCGCTGCGTGTGAACGAATGACTAATAAGTATCATCGTTTTTAAAAGTATTCCTCGTTAATTTTAATTGCGTTCTCGAATTAAAGGCACACACCAATTGCTTTCGAATCAATACACGCACCAACAACAACAGCAATAATTGTTGCTTTTAGTTGTTGTAGTTCTGCCTGCCGCCCAGCTCGAGAAGGTATCGATCCGGATGATCCATCCAATCGGCGGCTGTTAATTTAACTGTGCGCTGACGTTCCGCCTCCTTGATTTGCCATTTCTTAATATCCAATTGCACTTCGCGTGATGATTTATCGCCGCAGCCCCAAACCTGTAAAACATTGTGGTTTTTGTTGTTGGTAATTGTAACATCGTCGTTTGTATTTTTGATGAGGAGAAATTAGACTTCATTCAAATGTACACACACACTTTCACGGCCAAAGGTTAACTCTGGGCTCAAATACCTCTGTAACAGCTGTGCAAAAGCTTGCAGGCGAAATTGGCCTTGGCTTATCAATGGCTCGAAAGTGTTTTTTTAAATGCTTAGACTGGAAATTACGCCGTTAATATATATGCGATATACGTTAGAATACGTCTATGAATTTTTATACCATACATAAGTATTTATATATGTATACTGTGTTGACTAAGGCTTATTGCACATACAAATATAGCAAAAAATATACCAACTTAACAATGTACTTACCTCAATGGACATAAGGCCCGCCGCAATGCCCTTGCAGTCTACATTCTCGAAATGTTCGTCAACCGATATGATGGGCTTGCGCGGATCAGCGCCTGCTCGCAAGCCCTTGGGATAGCCGCGTATGCTAGTGTTAAGGTACAGAATGTTGGGCTTCTTCTCTAGTATCACAAATCTAAAAGGACAATGGAAATCAAATTATTTCTACTGTAAAGTTCCCCTTTAAATCTGACCGTGTTTTCTTTTTATTACTTACTTAGGCAACAGCTGTATCACACAGCTGCCCTCACCGCCGACAAACAAATGTGTCTCCTTCCACTCATTGGGCGCCGCAATGCAATATGTCTGCTCGTCCTTGGTGTGCAGCAGGACCAGCGTCGGGCCTCGGTAACCGAGTACATGGTGCAAAAAGCGATTGGCACCCACCCCATGCTCGTTGGAATCGTACAGTAGTGTCCAGTGTGATGGCATCATTGACAGTTTATCTTTGAAAATCTGCACAGCGCTCGAAGCGCTGCTGTTGTTGCTGCTATTGGGCGGCACAATCGTCCGTGGCTTGGAATACAGTGGGGGTAGGGCGCCGGCCAGCAGCCACGCTTGTGATAGCGGCATCAACGTCTCATTGTGCAAGGCGGGCGCACTGTGATCCGTGGCATCACTGGATGCAAATGGATTGCGCTGTTCCAGCACTGGCGTTTGTAGCTCAATTCCGCACGACTGAGACTGTTGTTCCAAGCCGCGATATGCAGTGGAGAGCGTATGGACGCAGTATTTGTGAACCAGCAGAACAAGACGAATCAAATTCTGTTCGAACCAACGGCAAACGAAGCCCAAGCTGAGGCTATCGTGGCTGAAAAATATCGACTTGGTCACTGAGCCAAACGTTCTGTTTATGGCCGTGCAGAGCACAGCATTCCCCGAGTGTTGCATGGCAATCGTATAGCAGATGAGCAAGAGGCGTGTGACGCCTGCTTTGTCTATCAAATCGGGATTATCGTCCTGTGCGTACATCTTGATGTAACTCTCCAGCACCTTTGCATCGTCCATGATGCCCAAGAATCGTTCACATTGCTGTCGAAAGGCCACGGTGCCCAGGTGCTTCGTTGTTGCCTTAGAGTTCAGGTGCATTAGTTGAAAGAGTCGATGGCCCAAATCAGTGTATTCGGGAAACACTTGAGACTGTGTGTGTTTGTGTGCGTGAAAATAATTGTTTTGAAACTGCTATAAAACTGTTATCAGCTAATTAGCTGTGCTTGCTCACCACAAAAACATCTGACATAATGCCATTGATGCCGTACTTGGTACTCGTCTGTTCCTTTAAAATTTCAGCCAGGCGCTCCACTGGCACCAGCTGGGTGAGGTACTTTTCTGTCACATCTGCGCCTGATGCTGATCTTGTCATTGTTTGCGTTTGTGACTGCACCTTGAGACTGTTATTGCTGCCGCTGCCGCTGGCGCTGCTGTTGCTGACAACAACATCGTTGGCATTGTTATTGCTGTTGGATGATTGTATGCTGGACTTGTGATGTTGATGATGGTGTTTATGTTTCCCACCGTCCAACGGAGGTTCGCTGCCCTCGCCATCGGCCTTGGCACTCACATTGTTCCCCATTTTGTTATGAAGTTGTGATAGTGTTGTGTTCGTGGGTCCAAACTTCGTCGCAATTTAATTGCGAAAAATTTCCTCAATGTTAAAGGGGCAAAAAAAGGCCCAAAAACGCAGGTTTGCTTTGAAACCAGCCAAACAGGTGCAGGGTGTATTTTTTACTAACAACGCCACAGTAATAAACCTGTTATGAAACACACGCTCACACACATAAGTAAGTACTAATGAATCAGTTAAATATATTTACATAATTAATTTTGCTAATAAAAAAATATAAAAAACCCAAACAAAACACAACCACCACCAGCTGGGTAATTTTGTTATCGATTAGCAGCACTTGCAAATTAAAATACTGCCGTACTTCCATCTCTAGCTGCAAGAATATAAATATGCATGAATACTGCGGATTTGTTTTGACACTCTTATGACCCTGTAACAAACTTTATTAAACACTTTATATCAAATTAAATAAATGTATCACAGGAAATACTCAAAAAATACAATTTTAATAACTTTTCATCAACAATATAAAAAAAACCGCTGGCAGTTTAAGCTGCCTTTAATAACTGTTATTTTGCACAATGATCAGCTGAGCGAGCAGCTGTTTGGCAAAAATCAGCTGAGCATTTTAAGGTAAGCGCTATTTACAGTGAAAACATATTTGCATAGATGCTGTTTTGTACCGTGAAAGTGGGAAATTAGCTTTTAGGAACTGTCTTATAAAATTATTACAAATACCATTTGCTGGAATTGAGAATAGAAGAAGAAGGTAGAAGGGCAATGGTTGCACCTGTAAACAAAGTGCAGACCAGCACAAACTCTGAGGATGATGAACCCTCTAGACCCTCTCATGTACATCCACCGGCTTCCTCTACGCTGCATGGGTCAAGTATATTGCTGGATGCTAATTCGACT